GCCATGAGATGTGTAGGGATATGAAATTCACCCCAAGAAAACTAGGAAAACAGAAAGGCTATGAAAGCTATACACAAAAGAAAAAAATGGTTTAGATGAAAAGATAGTATGGTTGAGGGAAACACCTAGAAATACTAGGAATAATAATTGAGTATGCATATGTCATGTTAAACATCTGCAAAACTCATAAAAATAGGTGACTTCAATGTTGGCCTGTTAACACAGGGACAATCAGAGTCTTCTGTGTAAGAGCCAGACCTTCCCATAGACCCACAGAACAATGTATACTCAGGAACTGTATCAATGGAACCAGAAGAAATATCTAACAGGAATATAGTTTTATTTATTTTTGGACTTGCAAACTCCTTATTTGTTGAGTACACTTGTATAGAGCAAGTTAGAACAGTCACAAACAATTGTCCTCATCTAATGGGTAGTTGTTACTGAAATGAAAATCACAATAATAGTAGTAAATTCAGGTACATCTACTACTGTATGTTAAATAACATCCTGAAGATATCATGTCCTGGAAAGAGTTTCTAGTGACTTGAGAGACTGGATCAAAGCAACAAGGATGTTGATGTCCACTTACATATATGAAGACTTCAAATTAAATGTGAAAAAAAAAAACAAAATATACTGAAATATTTAATATATTAAATAAACATTTCTTAAAATTAATAATAAAAGTGGAGGAATCTCTCCTTCTACATTAGTATATTTTTATAGATTGTGGAGGCCTAGTCAGAGCCACTAGAGCCTTAAGTTCTTTCTTCGCCTTTGTTTCATTGAGCCTCTTATTCCCACATAGGACTTGAAAAGTTTGATGTATTTGGCTTCGTTCTCTCACTACTTATGCCTATCCTTCATCCTCTTCCTCCTCCTCCTCCTCCTCCTCTTCCTCCTCCTCCTCCTCCTCCTCCTCCTCTTCCTCTTCTTCAGGTGCTCCCTCTTCTGGTGCTTCTCCTTCAGGTGGAGCTGCTGCTGGTGGGGGTGGAGCTTTTTCAGGCTTGGCTTCACCTTCATCTTTTTTACCAGAAATTTGACTTTTGAAAAGGCAGAGGAAGCAAATAATTATAGCTATTATTATCAGTGCTATAAGTATAATTATTATTAATATTGTCAAGTTTACAGTTTCTTCCTGTTTGGTAGTAGCATTCTGACCACCCCCGTCACTTGGGGGATGAGCAGGTGCTGAACCAGGGGGGCCACTGTCTATACTACCCCCATCTCCTATAACATTGCAGTTGGGGGGTCCATAGCCCTTGTTACAATGACAGTGCCCTAAGTCATTACAAACCCCATTGCCATGACACGTAGTATCATCCTTGCATTCCAAGTGGCCCAAGGAAACATCAGTGCATTCAGAAGACTTGCAGTTTTTAGATGGGGCACAGTAAGTGTCAGCCTTCACATCTCCAATGTCAGCAATATCAGAACCACTGTACGCATCCATACTCCAACACCAGTCATCTCCAAAAGGGGCTTGGATCACTGTGTGGTGTTCTCTAATTACTGGTATGCTTGTAAGACCTGAACATATAAGCTTCCCACAAAGTTTGTTATCCGATGTACATTTTGTATATGGTCCTTGAGGACTGCTGGCATGACCACAGTTTCCAAACCTGTCCCCTTTGCTGTTTATTGCCATGTAACAGTCTTCTGGGGCAGACTTTGCAGGGAACCCAAAACTTGATATACACTGTGAATTAGGGTCCATGCACTCACCACTAACACACCCATATGATTCATGACACACGGTGCCATCCTGCTTGTGTCTGTTTTGAGGGCATACTGGAGATGTACCATCACAATATTCTGGGAGGTCACATGATCCCACAGGACGTCGACAAAGGTGTCCAAGGGACGCAGGTTTGCAATCAACACAGCAGGGTCCAGTGTCACACGCAGCTGCGGCCTTCAGTTTACATTCTGAGTCACAGCATTTGCTATGAGCACAGGCAGAACCACAGTCACACTGCTCTCCTGAGTCCACCACACCGTTTCCACAGTTTCCATCCCTGCGCGTGCGGCTTCTGTGCCGTGGCTTGTTAAATAGGCAGGCTCCTCGGTGTTCACGAAGGAAGCGATAGAAGTCGTCAGAACTGCAGTTACTGAAGCTACTTTCTTTAGTGATATTCTCACCCATGAGACAGAAGGGCTGATTTTTACAAGTGCAGGCCGAGTGGTCATGCTGAATACCCAGGTTGTGCCCCAGCTCATGGGCCATGAGCGCTGCAAACAGGAGGATGTCTTCGTGATGGAAGGACTCCACAGCTGCCGCAAAACCGCTTGAGCAGGCGCCGTTGAGAAATGCCTGGCCCGTGTTCTCTCCAGGATGACGGCCGACAATCATGTGAGCAACATCATGCCTCACACGGTGGACGAGCTGCTCTTGTCTCCAGCTGTTGAAGTTCCTGAGTGTCACTTGTAAGTCCGCTGCAACCTCTGTCAGGTCCCCCTCAGTCCAGATCTCCATTCCAGCCAGTACCACCTCTGTGTTTATGCCCCTCGTGAAGCTGTTGGCCAGAGCAATGATGTCCATGACCCTCTGAACCGTCTCACTGACGTTACGGCCCCACATCTGGAACCGCTGGTTGTCGACCACAACAAACATCTCCACATACTTGGTGTGTGACCACAAGTAGGACAGCGCCTGTGGGTTGTGAAGCTTCCTGCTTCCCTGTTGCCGGCTGGTGGACATCCCTTGACCGCCTTTGGAAGTGACACTACAGGAGACGTGAGCTCCGTGTGCCATCGTGTACAACACATGTTCAAACCGTTTGGAAGAGAGAATGGGCTCAATGCTATAGGATGTTTCCCCCTTAACCAGGACGCCCCTGAGGCCCGAGCAGGTGTTGACAGAAACAAAGGAACCTGGCACCCCGTCTATGTAGCCTTCATAGTAGCAGTTGCGTGAGATGAAAAGCATTTCTTGCCCTAGCACCCTGTTGTGATAGCTGTAGACTGGGAAATCATCCACAAAATAGTCTCTCTTCACATGTAGGTGAACCAGCTGCTTCTGGCCTTGCATGAATAGTATGTAGGATGCCTTTTCTCCAGGTTTTTCACTTCCCTCAACTGTCAGACTCTCAGGGATGACCATTTCGTAAGAAGAATAATGTACCAATTCCATGTATATGCTTGGGAGAAAAATCATCCCCCAGAGCAACATGGTCCCCAGTCTGACACGTGAAAGACCTGGCACTAGTCCCAGCCTCAGACCATTCATCTGGGGAACCCAAGATTGAGGCGCTCTTGTAGCCCCATTCAAAACCATGTGGGGTTGCCAGAAGGAATACAGGGAGGAGGAGGATACTCTGGCTGAGGCTGTCGCCAGCATGACCCTAGTAAATCTGTTGGTGATGCAGGACCTCTGTCCAGCAGCAACAGCTCTGCATGGCAGACAGGATCAGAGACAGGTATTAGTGTCAGGTCAGTGCTGGCTGTAGAAACAGGGGTTACTGACTGCTTCTTAGACTCACAGCCTTCTTTTTCGATTTGGTTATACTTAATCTTTCTGATCTCTCTGTCGTCCCTCAGGTCATTCGTAGTTGGTGGTATCCTCCCGCACCATCAGCTTCAGTTTCCTTGGTTACAGTCCGTTTGACATCGTGCAGGGATGTATTATGAAGGACTGCAAACTCTATCCATAGGACGATACCTTGAGAGAGGAAACGAAATCTCCAAACCTTCCTCAACAGGGCCACACGGAACACTCCTCCCCTCCCCTCCTGTTGTCCGTTACTCAGCTAACACTGAACGTTCCAGACCTGGGGCTTAAAGACCTCTTTGGTGGGCATACCTCATTGCCCATTTCCTCTCTTCCAAAACTCTCCTCCTGTAACACATGAGCTTATTAATCCAGATTGATCTTTTCTGCTCAGTGAGGCATCATAGATGTGTATGCATCTCGAAGACCAGTCTCTTAGATCTGGCAAGTGAGGTGGCTGCCCTGTGCCCCTACACAGACACCGAAGTTGGTTACACATCAGGGAGGGACAAGTTCTGCTATTTTTTAACTCATCAAAATTCGCTTACTCAAATTCTGTTAATAACACTGCCCAATAGTATATGTTAGAGATGCTAACTCAGTAGTCCTATTATGTGTGATTGTCATGGGCATATTGATTAGGAGCACACCCTACTAATGATGGCCTTGACATATCAGTATCCTAAGATCATACTTGTTGAAGGCTTTGTATTCTCTGTTGGAATATTCTCCATGTTTTCAGCGGCCACTTCTAATTACTCATCTTGATTTCCCTGTGGGAGTCATAGTGGAGAACTTGTTTTAGAGTAGATGAACAAGAATTATTTTTTGAGTGAATAAGTGACTCACAGGTATGAAAGTCATCTGTAGTATGTTTTTTCTTCGGATTTGCTTTGTGCGTGCTCTAATGGCTAAAAATGCCTTCAGAAAACCCCACGTGCTCATTAATACTGGCTATTGGTCATTAATAAACTCCAAATTTACATCCTACTACGTTTTGTTGGTCAATTAGCTGGCCTGTGATGTTTTTGCCTCACTTGTCACTGAAAACAGTTGGAACAATCAAAAGAGCATTTCTGGCTGGTGCCGCGGCTCAATAGGCTAATCCTCTGCCTGCGGCACCGGCACACCGGGTTCTAGACATGGTCGGGGCACCGGATTCTGTGCCGGTTGCTCCTGTTCCTGTCCAGCTCTCTGCTGTGGCCCTGGAGTGCAGTGGGGATGGCCCAAGTCCTTGGACCCTGCACCTGCATGGGAGACCAGAAGCACCTGGCTCCTGGCTTCGGATCAGCGTGGTGCGCAGGCCGCAGCACCGGCCGCAGCGGCCATTGGGGGGTGAACCAACGGCAAAGGAAGACCTTTCTCTCTGTCTCTCTCTCTCACTGTCCACTCTGCCTGTCAAAAATAAAATAAAATAAAATAAAAAATAAAAAAAAATAAAATGATGCTTCAGTGTATATTCCCAAAAGAGTATGTTAATTTCCACTGCTGCACTTTCACAGGAATGCCTGGTCTTGAGTCTTTTAAATTTTCCCAAGCTTTGATATATGTGGATATCCTTTTGGGGCTGTGCTTTGTATTACCCTGAATACTAATGAATATGAATACCTTCAGAAATATTTATGGACCCATTTTTCTATACTGATGCTGCTAGAATAAGGCTTTCATGCCCCATCTGTACAGCAAAACTACTCTACCATAGGATACCAATGAAGACCTTCCTCTGTCAGATCACACGATCAACCCTCAGTCTCCTCTTTATGAGCTTATCAACTTTTTTTTAAGATTTATTTATTTATTTGAAAGTCAGAGTTACACAGAGAGAGGAGAGGCAGAGAGAGAGAGGTCTTCTGTCTGATTTTTTACTCCCCAGATGGCCACAATGGCCAGAGCTGCCCTGATCTGAAGCCAAGAGCCAGGAGCTTCTTCTGGGTCTCCCACATGTGTACAGGGGCCCAAGGACTTGGGCCACTTTCTACTGCTTTCCCAGGCCATAGCCGAGTGATGGATTGGAAGTGGAGCAGCCAGGTCTAGAGCCAGCGCCCAAAGGGATGCTGGCACTTCAGGCCAGGGCATTAACCCACTGTACCACAGCACTGGCCCCAGGTTGCAGGATTTGATTACTTATATCATTTTGTGGCAACAGTTTTATGTTCTTATAAAGAACATAAATTGTCTATGACTTTCTATAAATTATGGCATACTACTTACCTCAAATTTGGGACCTATCTCCACTTTTAAAACCCTAAGAACATTGGGCCAGCATTTTGGCAAAGTGAATAAAGCCATCACCTGCAATGCCAGTATCCCATATGGCACTGGTCTGAGTCCTGGCTACTCTACTTCTGATCCAACTCCCTGCTAATGACCTGGGAAAAGCAGCAGAATATGGCCCAAGTGCTTGGACCCCTGCCACCCACATGGGAGACCCAGATGATACTCCTGGCTCCTGGCTTCAGCCTTGCTCAGTGGTGGCCATTGCAGCCATTGCAGTGAACCATTGGGTAGACGACCTCTCTCTCTCTCCTTCTCTCTGTAACTCTGATTTTCAAATAAAATAAATCTTAAAAAAACAGGAACATTTGCTGACACCTTTCTTTGAGCATACTTATCTGCGTTTCTCTGTTTGCTTCATTTTTATTTGAAAGACATAGAGATAGACAGAGGCAGGCAGACAGAGCTCTTCCATCTGCTTATTCACTAATCCAAATGTCCACAATAGCTGGGGCCAGGCCAGGCTGAAGTTGGGAGCCAGAAACTCAATAGCTAGGTCTCCCATGTTGGTGGCATCATCACTGACATCCAGGGTGTGCATCAGCAGGAAGCTGGAATCAGGAACAGAGCCAAGACTCAAATGCAGGGACTCCGAAATACAGATGTTGGTACCCCAGGTTCCATCTTACTGCTGTGCCAGATGCTCACCCCTGTGAGCATATCTGCCCATTATGATCTAATTTATCCATGGAAATAAAGGATAGCTTTGGGTGGATAAAGGGTTGGTGGTGGACATGAGAGAAAGCTTTGCCTTCTGTTCCTTTGCCCCAGCACTATGCCTTTTATACTTCTGTTGTTTGTGAAATTTTCTCCACTAATGTCTAGTTCATGAAAATCGACTACTAGAATAAATGTGGTAGTTTCAGAGTTTACTCTTTTTGTCCCCTTAGAAGGTTTTCTTTCTCTAATGCATGACTTACCTCCAGAATTTGATATTTTTTTAACAACATGCCTGAGAGTGGAGAGCATATATACTTCCTGTTGCATAAAAAACAACCACTTGGTGGTGTGTTTTAGATTCACTCTTCTGTGGATTCTACCTCACTTTCGCCCTTGAGTATCCTCAAAGAGAACCTACGTCTCATCTGGGTAAATTGAGGAAAGTATTTTGGAGTAGTTCCAAGGGCATAACCAGGACTATGCAGATTAAAATAAAAAGAAGTAAGGGAGAGTGAGATCATTCCACAGAAACAAGACCACAAACAAAAGCCCAGAATCTGCCGTGGATGTGTTATATAGTGAGGACAGACATGCTGATAGTGTGATCAGAGACCGCTGATCAGAGGTTCTTGTCTTCACACAGAATTTAGACGTGAGATAGTGGCAGAACTCATGCTAGCCAGGTTTAATGAAAAAGAGTACACCTGACAGCTCAGGTTGGCATCTTGGGAAATAACTGAAATCCCAGTCCATTTTCTAATGGGAGTTTTTATGGATATGGGTATGGGCTTCCATTTCTCATTCCCCCATACCCTTTCTGGGATATTCCTCCTAGAATGTCATAATAGACCTGTGAGCCCCTGGGTGTAAGGCAGGGGAGGTTCCCCTAAGCTTCTTCCTTTAAGTGCTAGTCTGCTCCTAAGGCTTACTTCTACATTTATTCACTCTATTTTCTTCCCCCAAAATTCTCATTTTATTTGCCTCTGTTACACACATAGGCTAATGTCTGTCTAGCTACCCAATAATGGAAGAAATACTTACTTTCAGAAACTGTGGTAGGTAACAATTGGAAATGGACATTAGGTTCCAGTCACCACAGGCCTTCGATACTGAAGGAGCTCAGGACTAAAAGCAGGCCAGGCTGACATCATCCCACAGCTCCTTACCAGAAAGCATAAACCACAACAAAACAGGATGGAAGCCCCTTGTCACAAATACTTGTCTACGATGCCCAGATCTACGCTTACATAAAAACAAGTTAGAAAGAGCTCCATTAAGACTGCCTCCGCCTCCATAGTAACCAATGTATAGCCACTGCCTCTGTTCACCTTTGTCCCTTGGGGGTGACATGTTAAGGACATACAAATACCCCTAGAGTGTGAGAGCAGCTGGACACAAATTGATGCCCGAATGGGATGCCAGCATTGCAGCTTTACTGGTTATGCCACAACGCCAGCCCAATAAATAAATCCTTAACAAAAATAAGTGTTAGTCCTAATTTTAAATTTTTTTCAAGCTGGATATTCAGTGGTATACAGAAAAATAAATTTGAAAACCTATTTTGAGCTCCTTGGAAAAGGAGGAGTTGACAGACAGTTTCTGCATGATTTATTTCACAGGTGCTTTGTGATTTCACAGCAGTAGTAAAAGCAGCAACATGCTAGATTCCCTGTACCTAAAATGCACATCAGAACGATGAACCATGTCACTGCTGCTGCACTTTGATCCAGCTCCCTGCTAATGGCCTAGGAAAAGCAGCAGCAGATGGCCTGAGTGTTTGTCCCCTGCTACCCATGTGGGAAGACTAGGAAGAAGCTCCTGGCTCTTGGCTTTAGCCTTGCCCAGCCCCAGCAGTTGTGGCCAGCTGGGGAATGAACCAACAGATGGAAGATCTCTCCTCTCTTCCCTCTCCTCCTCTCACCTCCTCTCCTCCCCTCTTCGTTTCATCCCTTCCCTTCTCTTCCCCTCCTCTCCCCCCTCCCCTCTCCTCCCCTCCCCTCCCCTCCTCTCCTCCCCCTCCCCCATTTCTCCCCCCACCCCATCCTTACCTCCCTCTCTCTGTATCTTCGACTTTCAAATAAATAAGTAAATCTTAAGAAAAAGAAGAAAGACGAACAGTTTTCACATCAAGGGCTTTCAATCTCAAATGAATAGAGCCATTGATTGAGGTTCAGTGTGGGGATCAGACATAGTAATAAACTGGATGGGCATATCTTTTTTTTTTTTTTTTTTTTTTTTACAGGCGGAGTGGACAGTGAGAGAGAGAGACAGAGAGAAAGGTCTTCCTTTGCCGTTGGTTCACCCTCCAATGGCCGCCGTGGCTGGCGCACTGCGGCCAGTGTACCGCACTGATCTGAAGCCAGGAGCCAGGTGCTTCTCCTGGTCTCCCATGGGGTGCAGGGCCCAAGCACCTGGGCCATCCTCCACTGCACTCCCTGGCCACAGCAGAGAGCTGGCCTGGAAGAGGGGCAACCAGGACAGAATCTGGCACCCCAATGGGCATATCTTAAAGAGCTAGGAAAATGTTCCCTGAGCCATTAGAATTGTATACTAAACATCCTGTTTTAATGAG